CTCGTGGACCATCACGAGGCAACAGCAAACTACCAACTTGTGTTTGTCTAGCAACACATAATATCTCTACAGTCACCACAGCCACGATGATTCACAACTTTTTGACCTAAAGATGTATTACTCTGGACACTGCAATTATACATCTGAATGTTTTACATATTGAACAGGAGAAGAACACTGAGTTCAGGACTGAGAGGTTCATAGAAGAGAGGAGAATATTTCTAAAGTGATGTCATGAGTCAATCTAACTCATTTTCATAACACGGCCAGAAAGTGTCGTCACGGCTGACTATAATAATCATAGGAGTCACGGGATCATACAGAAGTGAGCATAGCTTGAGGGAAGGGTCAAGACTTTAGACACACGGTATTTGTACAAATCTTCGACTCCCAAACAGTTCAAGCTCTGACAAGATGACGAAGTTGGTGAGGCATTTGTTATTGATCGAATATGAGAGACAGTTGACTTTGTTACGGCTGTTGCACCTTTGATATATAAGCAAAAGCTGCGATAGTAGTCGACTTTATAATGAAGATAAGAATTTAAAATACAAACTGGGAAATTTTTGGGCCATTTGTTGACGTTAATTTCAGGAAAGCAAAGTTACAGTGCATGTTAATCCAGATTCATGTTGTCTACTGCACGTTAGGTACGCAAAGTGTTCTATGGAAGACTACGAACATATCAAAGATTCACTGGAACAGACAACCCCTCAGCCTGTCTAGCTTGACAAGTTATGGGTGTCCAGTGTAAACAGAAGGAATCACCATCACCTTGCATGGGAATGACTACAAGATGAGGCACAGTAACCAACCACTTTTAGATGCTAAATCGATATTTTGCTGTACCTGTACACTGAAGACCACAAGAGTGTGTACCTGACCTGACACTACGGTGCAGTGCGACGAAGCTGAGACAGTACACACGTGGTTCCTCGTGTGTAGTGAAAACCAAACTATGTGCAACCATTCTACTAATACTAACGTGGTTGTTCTTGTGTGGTTGATAGCTAAGTTTCACCATGTTGGTTTAAGTGAGGTGTTCGAGATTAACGTGAAGACAAAATTCAGTTCACTGCACCACAACTGTATCAACTGGGCCCAGATATGTACAAAGAGTTAATTAAGCTACATGTTCTGAAGGAATCTCTTTGTATGGATAAAACTGACGCAGAAACTATGAACAAATTGAACATAGATCCACTTAGCGCCCTAAAAAAACTGCAAGGGAAGCTGTGAACTCTCTTTGTGAAACCGACCCCAGTAATTGAAAATAACCCCGTAAAATTATCTGATGTTAAATTGTACAGTAAGTTTCATGTACAAATATTCACTTCCCAATTTAAAGAGTTAAATGTGGTAGGCTGGAACTGTCAGTGGTAACCGAGAACTGACATGTCTTTCACAACCAAACCTTCTTAACTGTGTGTGTGTGTGTGTGTGTGTGTGTGTGTGTGTGTGTGTGTGTGTGTGTGTGTGTGTGTGTGTGTGTGTGTGTGAAAGAGACCAATAATTTCACAGATTATTCTTATTACCACATTTAGTTTTCTCAGCTACTGTGACTACTTTTACTACAAACAAGTAGACAGTAAAGCAGGCACAGTAACAGAGTAGACAGTAACAGAAGCAGGCACAGTAACAGAAGTAGACAGTAACAGAAGCACAGGCAGTAACAGACAGAACAGTAACAGAAGTAGACAGTAACAGAAGGCACAGTAACAGAGTAGACAGTAACAGAAGCAGGCACAGTAACAGAAGTAGACAGTAACAGAAGCAGGCACAGTAACAGAAGCAGGCGCAGTAACAGAAGCAGGCACAGTAACAGAAGTGGAAGCAGTAACAGTAACAGAAGCAGGCACAGTAACAGAAGTAGACAGTAACAGAAACAGGCACAGTAACAAGTAGAGCAGGCACAGTAACAGAAGCAGGCAGTAACAGAAGCAGGCACAGTAACAGAAGCAGGCACAGTAACAGAAGCAGTAACAGAAGCAGGCACAGTAACAGAAGTAGACAGTAACAGAAGCAGGCACAGTAACAGAAGCAGGCACAGTAACAGAAGTAGACAGCAACAGAAGCAGGCACAGTAACAGAAGTAGACAGCAACAGAAGCAGGCACAGTAACAGAAGTAGACAGCATCAGAAGTAGACAGTAACAGAAGTAGACAGTAACAGAAGCAGGCACAGTAACAGAAGTAGACAGCAACAGAAGTAGACAGTAACAGAAGTAGACAGCAACAGAAGTAGATAGCACCAACAGAAGCAGTCATAACAGAAGTAAACAGCAAGAGAAGTAGACTAAATAATATATTTAGACTAAACAGAAGTAGACAAAAAAGTAGACGCCATAACAAAAATAGACAATAAACGTAGCATTAATAACAGAGGTAGACAACAGAAGTAGACTCAAGAACAGTAGTAGACAACAGAAGTAGACTCAAGAACAGTAGTAGACAACAAAAGTAGACTCAAGAACAGTAGTAGACAAGAGGAGTAGACTCAAGAACAAAAGTAGACAACAGAAGTAGACTCGATAACAGTAGTAGACAAGAGGAGTAGACTCAAGAACAGTAGTAGACAACAGAAGTAGACTCAATAACAAAAGTAGACAACAGAAGTAGACTCAAGAACAGTAGTAGACAGCAGAAGTAGACTCAATAACAAAAGTAGACAACAGAAGTAGACTCAATAACAAAAGTAGACAACAGAAGTAGACTCAAGAACAGTAGTAGACAACAGAAGTAGACTCAAGAACAGTAGTAGACAACAGAAGTAGACTCAAGAACAGCAGTAGACAACAGAAGTAGACTCGATAACAGTAGTAGACAAGAGGAGTAGACTCAGTATCAGAAGTAGACAACAGATGTAGACTCAATAAAAGAAGTAGACAAAAGAAGTAGACTCAAGAACAGAAGTAGACAACAGAAGTAGACTCAACATCAGAAGTAGACAAAAGAAGCAGACTCGATAACAGAAGTAGACAACAATAACAAACGAAAACATAGCAAACAATCAAACAGAGAGTAATAGACGTACAGACAGGCTGGTAGACAGTAACAGACAGGCTGGTAGACAGTAATAGACGTACAGACAGGCTGGTAGACAGTAATAGACGTACAGACAGGCTGGTAGACAGTAATAGACGTACAGACAGGCTGGTAGACAGTAATAGACGTACAGACAGTACAGACGGTAGACGTACAGACAGGCTGGTAGACAGTAATAGACGTACAGACAGGGCTGGTAGACAGTAATAGACGTACAGACAGGCTGGCAGACAGTAACAGACGTACAGGCAGGCTGGTAGACAACAGACGTACAGACAGGCTGGTAACAGCAGACGTACAGACAGGCTGGTAGACATAGACGTACAGACAGGCTGGTAGACAGTAGCAGACGTACAGACACAGAGTACAGACGTACAGACAGGCTGGTGTAGACGTACAGACAGGCTGGTAGACAGTAGACGTACAGACAGGCTGGTAGACGTAATAGACGTACAGACAGGCTGGTAAACAGTAATAAACGTACAGACAGGCTGGTAGACAGTAACAGACGTACAGACAGGCTGTAAGACAGTAACAGACGTACAGACAGGCTGGTAGACAGTACAGAACAGACAGGCTGGTAGACAGTAGCAGACGTACAGACAGGCTGGTAGACAGTAATAGACGTACAGACAGGCTGGTAGACAGTAACAGACGTACAGACAGGCTGGTGCAGGACGTGCTGACAGTAATAGACGTACAGACAGGCTGGTAGACAGGGGCAGCAGCAGGCTGCTGTAATGACAGGCTGGTAGACAGTAGCAGACGTAGGCAGACAGTAACAGACCAGACAGGCTGGAGACTGTAATAGACGTACAGACAGGCTGGTAGACAGTAACAGACTTACAGACAGGCTGGTAAACAGTAACAGACAGGCTGGTAGACACGTACAGACAGGCTAGGACGTACAGACAGGCTGGTAGACAGTAGACGTACAGACAGGCTGGTAGACAGCAGACGTACAGACAGGCTGGTAGACAGTAACAGACGTACAGACAGGCTGGTAGACAGTAACAGACGTACAGACAGGCTGGTAGACAGTAACAGACGTACAGACAGGCTGGTAGACAGTAATAGACCTTACAGAGAGGCTGGTAGACAGTAACAGCCAGCAACAGACTTACAGACATTCAACAGACGTAGTAGAACTGCAAAAATGCATAATTATAAACAAGAACAAAATCAACAACCGTAACTTAAACAACAACAGACAGAGAAGAGAGTAAGACAAACAAACAAGACACAAACAACAAAACAATGAAGTAAGACAAACAAACAAACAACAGACACAAACAACAAAACAATGAAGTAAGACAAACAAACAAACAACAGACACAAACAACAAAACAATGAAGAAAGTAAGACAAACAAACAAACAACAGACACAAACAACAAAACAATGAAGTAAGACAAACAAACAAACAACAGACGCAAACAACAAAACAATAAAGAAAGTAAAACAAACAATAACAAAGATGACAAAGTAAATAGCATTAGACAGAGACACCAAGAGACAATAACAAAACTGACAGCAACTGACAGGGTAAAGAGACAGCAAGAGACAGAGAAACTACAAACATAAAACTGACAGCAGCAGACAGGGGCCACTTGAGCAGTTGTATCCGTAGTAGTAATAGTGTGGAGGCACGTGTGTGTGTGTGTGTGTCTGTGAGCGGTCATGTTTATATGTTTGTCTCTGGGTGTGTGTGTGTGAGTACAGGTGTATAGTGTCACCTGCAGCCGGCGTCAAGGGTCAGCAGGGTCGGGGGCGGGGCTACAGGAAAGAACCCGCCCATTTGCTGAAGAAGCCAATGGAGGAGCGTGTGAGCAGTGGTAGCATGAGGTGTGTGGGCGCTGGGAGGCGACTGACTGGCCAGAGGAGAAGTAAGCCCCGCCTCCAGGCCCTCCAGGCCCTCCACGGCCGGCCTGGCCAGGGTATGTAAGGCGGTGGGCAGCTGCAGGAAGTAGACTTGTGCAGAACTCCCCAGTGAAAGAAGCAAGTGTAAGAGAGAGACCCCAGATAGGAGCGGTGACAGCACCGTAATAGAGACACACACAGTGAGCATGTACACCCACGCTCTGCTAGCCTTGTTGGCCCTCGTCGCCACCACTCGCGCCTACACCTTCCCCGTCGCAGACTCCGACCGGATCCCCCAGCGCTACAACCGACAACCTACGCCCGTCGACACCGACTACGTCAGCGACTACGGCATATCCTCCTCTCAGGCCGACGAAGGCGACTACTTCGACTACAGCGAGTACCCGGAGAGAGAGGAGGAGGAGGAGGAGGAGGAGGAGGAGGTGGTGGAGGATGGAGATCAGGAGGCGACGATGGAGGGAGGAGCGATGCTTGAAGAACACTTCCCACGACGGGTGTATGAGACCATCGTACCCACAGCCCCCAGCAGGGACCCCCTAGCTGAGTAAGTACTCAAGGCCGCGCTCTATCACCACATACCCACCTTTATGACCACGCCCCCTTGCTCATGACTCACCACGTCCCACGCCCCCTGGCCCACACCTTCTGACTCACCATTTATACTCATTGTTTTTAATGTCTTCCCAATGCCTCCCACGCCCCCAACTTGTTTGTTTATCACGCCCTTAAATCGTTTGTTTACCACGCCCCAAATGTATTTGTATACGAAGCCCCTAAATTGTTTATCCATCCTCCCCTAACTTGCCTTATTACCATGCCCAGGTTGTTGACTACGACCCCCTCCCTCGCTGACTTGTCAACTACCAAATTACTAACTATTTGCCCCTCTTGACCCACCAACTATGGAATGACTCACAACGGGGATCCTGAACTCACGGGTAACCACTTACACGATCGTCGACTCATAACACGAGGGAATTACCCATATAAACAATCACCAGTCATAATTAACACAGGTACTCACAGGGTCACATTCCGTCTCACAATACAACTCACTATATTCTGTATATTATCTACACTACACTATGTCCAGTGACTCTTTCTAACACTACGGTAGACTAATGTAATACTGTAACTCAGTGACACAACCTTAAGTTCTCCCGCGATCATGAACGAAATGCAGTTACCTACCTGTTGAACACACGCAGTGAGGATTTTCTCCGCATTCTTCAAGCAGTGACTTTCATAAAACCATTTTCTGTTTCCCTTTCCTTGCAATTTTCTCTCTCTCTCTCTCTCTCAAACGTCTCTTCCACTATCCTTCTCTCTTCCATTCTGTCCCTTCCCCCTCTCTTCCCTCTGTCTCACGCGTCTTGACTCACAGCTCACTCATCCTCCCCTCCGCCTCTCCCACCTGTCCCCTCAACCCCCATTCCCCTCCTCACACACAAACCTCAACGCTACACCGCTTATACTCCTAACATCTTTTTCGGTGAACTCCTCTTCCACGTTATAATTCAGACTGTAATGGGTATAAAACTTATAGTACTGTGTTACCTGTTGTTGATCACACCTGAATGTGCTAATTACGATAGGTGACGTCACACTTCGACAGTCAATCGTAAACCTCAGTTCTCTTCCCAAACTTGTAAAATTAATTAACTTAATTCTTACATCATTAGAGAAAATAATGATGTAGATAGGTAATGATTATGAGAATGAACTGGAGGGTAATTAGCTCTGTTTCATCACATATCTCGTTATAGTTGTTTCAAAGTTATGTTCTTGTTTATGTAATTAGCTTTGGACACATCTATGATAATGGGTGTATACATAAAGCCTTACTTACGTCGTTTATATACTGTACACATATCACACACACACACGCACACACACACACATCATTATCTCCCAGCAATCATTAATTATCCAAGGCTCAAACTATCACCCCCTTTAACTTATGCACATTAACAAATACAATGTTATGTTGACCAATATATCATTATTACCATCATCATCTTTAGCACCATCATCATCTTTAGCACCATCATCATCAACACCATCATCATCAACACCATCATCATCTTTAGCACCATCATCATCTTTAGCACCATCATCATCAACACCATCATCATCAACACCATCATCATCTTTAGCACCATCATCATCAACACCATCATCATCTTTAGTACCATCATCATCAACACCATCATCATCTTTAGCACCATCATCATCATCAACACCATCATCATCTTTAGCACCATCATCATCAGCACCATCATCATCAACACCATCATCATCAACACCATCATCATCTTTAGCACCATCATCATCAACACCATCATCATCTTTAGTACCATCATCATCAACACCATCATCATCTTTAGCACCATCATCATCATCAACACCATCATCATCTTTAGCACCATCATCATCAACACCATCATCATCTTTAGCACCATCATCATCAACACCATCATCATCAACACCACCATCATCAACACCATCATCATTGGACACAGGAAGATGAAAGCATGTTCGTATAGCCGGTGTTCAATCTTAATTACCATTACTATGACCGATAGGAAGGTAACCTCAGGTGTAGCCGAGATAACCCAGACATGACTCCTCACCATAACGTAACAACCTAACCTAACCTAACAACCGCCTCCCTCACTCTGGTCACCGTCGGTCCAGAGTGTTGCGGTAAAGAGGAACGATAACAACTAACTTGTATCGTGTAGGTTATTGTAGCTATCGTTTATTCCTTTTTATCCTCCTCCTCCTTCTTCTTCTTCTTCTTCTTCTGTATAAACCATCATTATTAACCCGTCATAATTACAACTACCATCACCAATACTTATTCAACCACTCCTCCAACACCAGCATCACCCACCTTCTCCTTCACTACCATCACCAACAATACCTTCTCCACCCCAACACCACTAACATCATCAATCTCTCCACCACCACCACAGTCAACATCTCCTCCACCACCACAGTCAACATCTCCTCCACCACCACAGTCAACATCTCCTCCACCACCACAGTCAACATCACCTCCACCACCACCATCACCTCTCCTCCACCACAGTCAACATCTCCTCCACCACCACAGTCAACATCACCTCCACCACCACAGTCAACATCTCCTCCACCACCACAGTCAACATCTCCTCCACCACAGTCAACATCTCCTCCAGTCACACACCACCACAGTCAACATCACCTCCACCACCACAGTCAACATCACCTCCACCACCACAGTCAACATCTCCTCCACCACCACAGTCAACATCTCCTCCCACCACCACAGTCAACATCACCTCCACCACCACAGTCAACATCACCTCCACCACAGTCACCAGTCAACATCACCTCCACCACCACAGTCAACCCACCACCACAGTCTCCTCCCACCACCACAGTCAACATCTCCTCCACCACCACAGTCATCACCTCCCACCACCACAGTCAACATCTCCTCCACCACCACCACTAACACCATCAGCCTCTCTAACTCACCACTCACCCAACCCACCACACCTCTCCTCCACCACCACAGTCAACATCACCTCCACCACCACCATCACCTCTCCTCCACCACCACAGTCAACATCTCCTCCACCACCACTAACACCATCAGCCTCTCTAACTCCACCACTATCACCAACAATCTTTCCACCATCACCAACAATCTATACCTTCACCACCATTAATTCCTCCCTCAACGTTCACCATCCTCTCCCACTATCATCACCCCCTCCCCCCTTCACCTTCTCCACCACTTTCACAATCGTCAACTTTTCTCCATCATCATTTCCATCAAACCCCCTCCTCCTCCACCATCAAACCCTCCTCCACCCTTCCACCACCACTACTACCACCATCAACCCTTCCACCACCACCACTACCACCATCAACCCTCCACCACCACCACCAACCCCATCATCAACCCTCCACCACCACTACTACCACCATCAACCCCTCCACCATCCCCACCATTAACCCCTACCACCACAAACCACCACCACTATCACCAACAACCCTCCACCACCACTACCACCATCAACCCCTCCACCACCACCATCAACCCTCCACCACCACTACCACCACCCCCATCATCAACCCCTCCACCACCACTACTACCACCATCAACCCCTCCACCATCCCCACCATTAACTCCTCTACCACCACAACCACCACCACTACCACCAACAACCCCTCCACCACCACTACCACCATCAACCCCTCCACCACCACCATCAACCCCTCCACCACCACTACCACCACCCCCATCATCAACCCCTACACCACCACTACTACCACCATCAACCCCTCCACCATCCCCACCATTAACCCCTCTACCACCACAACCACCACCACTACCACCAACAACCCCTCCACCACCACTACCACCATCAACCCCTCCACCACCACTGTCAACATCATCGTCTCCCTTAACCCCAACGTCACCACAACTACTCCTCGAGATTAGATAAGTGAGCCCCCAGTGACACCCAGAAAGATAGAGTTATGACAGTAATCTTGAGCCTCTCGTTACGGTAATTACTGCACAACTTTCCTCAACACAACCCGCACCTCCTCAAGTAGTCCCTTATAAACGCCTCTCAAATACTTTCAATGGTATTATCATCATCTACACAATACCGTCGCCTCGCTATTCTGTTTCGTATTAGGAACAAAATAAAATAAGTAATAAAGGAAAGTAATAACGCAACAGTATTACCTCAAATGCCTGTCAAGTGTCTGAAATGATACTGAGGGAGCAGTTGTGTGGTCAGGCAACGCTGACCCTTGCAGTCCCCAGCCTAACTGTAGCACGAGTGAACTATCACATACCGTAGTCTACCTGCTGTCTATTACCCGACAGTGTAATAAGGCAATGTTTTCCACTGGTGACGACCACCGCGAGTATCGTGTACAATTACCACCACCGCATGAATGGCAATACAGTTATGAATGGTAGAGGTGTCACCTGCGGCCATCAAGGTCACAATCTAGCCTTTACCCACCGCTCTCTGCTCCCACCACCACTCCTCACACTTCACCAGTAATCCCAGCTGTTGTTGCACAAACTTTCGCTCACGTCGTCAGAATCCTCCCTTCCTCCCTCGCCCCACCTACAGTATGTTGCCAAAGCGCTACAATTACTACATTTCCTGGTACCTGTACTTACTTAAGTTATTCTTGCTACAATCATTGTAATGCAAACTGACAAATATCACCTCGTGAAGGCATGACGCGACCTGTGCTTCCAAGAAATACAAAGTGAAATGTGCCAGGAACAGCGAGTCCGCCCCACTCACCACCCAAACACACACCTCTTGAAACCGGCGCCGGGATTACTACATATCCATTCATAACAATATCAACCTAAACCCGCTACATCCCACAAGTTACAAACTACAGTACACAACAGATGAATTTCACACACATCACCAACTGCAGTTTGTCGTAACACTAAATACATCAAAGTTACACAGCTGATCGTAAAACAATTCATCAGCTGGAGAAATCAATCACGAATCCAATTATTGAACTGATGAAATACGGTAACACTTTGATTGACATATACACAAAACACAGAGACACTCAAACTCTTAACTGGCTATAAATAATATTCACTTCTTCCTCTTACCTTTGTAGTTGACGCTGCACTGTCCTCCGTCTACAATAAAAGATAAATATCAGATCAGTAAGAGGCTCACAAATGGAGTATTTCCGTAGAAAACGAATTTTAATAATATATTGATAACAAGATTAACTACATTCCTAAACATTGAGCTTTTTCACGTATCAAGTTATTATGTGGATCATCAAACTCAGGCTAAGCAACGTAAAAAACTTGTCTCCATATTTCTTACATCCAAAGTATGAAATGAGAGAGGGAGGGAGAGAGGGAGGGAGAGAGGGAGGAGAGGAAGGGAGGGAGGGAGAGAGGAAGGGGGAGAGGAGGGAGAGAGGAAGGAGGGAGAGGGAGAGGAGGGAGAGGAAGGGAGAGGGAGGGGAGAGGGAGGGAGAGGAGGAGGGAGGGAGGGAGGGAGGAGGAAGGAGGAGGAGGAGGAGGAGGAGGGAGGGAGAGAGAGGAAGGGATTTAATTCACCGGTACAACTATTGTGTGCCTCGAATATGTCCATTATCAAGTAGCAGTACAGTGTAGATGAATGAGGCGAGGCGAGTTGTACTGTAGACTCATAACAACTACAGTCACATATAAACTGTAAAGGATTATTCCACGTGTGAGAGCTTGGCTAAATAAACTAGGAGCCAAGAAAGGCGAGACACATTTAGGGGATCAATAGCCCACCTGTAAGATCTCGGAAACAGCCTTGACCCCGAGACAGCTGCCCTTAGCACTACACACCAACAACATCCTCCACGACCACACACAATGCCCGCCCACCCCACCATGACCTTACAGTATATCCCCAGGGTTGTACTGGAGACAATATAATGTTATAAAAGAAAATTACATTGTCAAGACGATAATACGTGAAAATAAATTGTCACACATCAGGTAATTTTTTGTGATTATAAAAAAAAACTGTAATACGTGAAAGTAAATTGTCACACATCAGGTAATTTTATGTGATTATAAAAAAAAAACTGATTTATTCTTAAAGATCTATTATAAACACTAGACTATTGTGGAGCTTTACCAGTTAGTTATAAATTATCAAAATAATAATAATAATCGTCTCAGTCAACAAACTGGTGAGTTGATTATATCCACCCGACCCCTCTCTCTCTCTCTCTCTCTCCAGCCGACTCAGACGACCCCCCACTTAATACGAGTTGTTTTAACACCATCATCAAAGTTATTACCACCGAAACAATTACTTCCGCTAATGATATTGAGGAACTTTGGCACTTAGCGACCTCCATCATCCCTTGTAACTACCTCTCACACGTCTAAGTCGCCTCTCCCAATCACTATATAAAGTTGTAATACATTGTCGAACGCCCCCAGAATTATTAGGACGGGTAGGAAAAGCCTCTCCTACAGCTACAACTCTCGTCTATAACTCTACACAGGCATGTACACATATACACGTAACCGTACACATATACACTTAACCGTACACATATACACTTAACTGTACACATATACACGTAACCGTACACATATACACTTAACCGTACACATATACACTTAACCGTACACATATACACGTAACCGTACACATATACACTAACGGTACACATATTCACTAGGTATACAAACAGTCAGGTATTAATCCACTAAACACATGTTTGTACATTTACTAACGATATACGGTCATGATACACTAACCATTACATACATTTAGATCAAAATTACACACACACACACACACACACACACACACACACACACACACACACACACACACACATACACACATATACACTCTCATATCACCCCCCACCACACACACACACATTAATACACATACCACTATACTCATACATCACCCCACCACACACACACATTAATACACACCTACTCATACATCACCCCCCCACCACACACTTTTCTCGCCATCACCCCCACACACATTAGCCACACACCACTACTCATACATCACCCCCCCCCACCACACATACACATGAACGGTACACATGACCCATTTTAACATCTGAATCCTCACCAAGATGTTGTAAAGGCTTCTCATTGTCACACAGCGATAACAAACAAATAATAATAATAATAATAATAATAATAATAATAACTGAAAAGAGTGAAAGGTACGTTACAGTCCTAGCATTAGATAAATTAATTCAAGATGAAGCAACGACATGAACGATGAACAAGTGAAGTGAACAAAGCTTTATGGTACAACTCGTCTCGCTGCCCAACCCATAAACAAGACCCAAGTAACGGGAGTCGACTTGAGAGCGTTTTACCCCCACCCTCTCTCTACTTTTTTTTTTCAGTGACATTCGTTAGTTTTGCTTTTAGATTAGACACACCATCGAGCTTGACATTATTCACTGCCCACATTAGCAGCAACATTATATAACATTTTCCAGGGGGGGAGGGGGGTTGGGGGTAGGAGAGAGGGGGAAGGGGGAGGGGGAGGGTGGGAGGGAGGGGTGGGGGGAGAAATATTGCTATCCGATATTGGAAACAGAAAATGATAGTCCCGAAGCTTCTCTCACACTCCCACATTACCATAGTCGCCTGATATACATTGAAAAATATAACCATTACCTTCCAGCTGCAGTTTATGCATGAGAGAGAGAGAGAGAGACGAATACGAAAGCTTCATAATCTAAAATAACAATATCGTATTTTCGAACCATTCATCTCACTGTTCATGAGACTAACTACGAGTTTAATGGTGTCATAGTTATTTACACAGTTGGTTGCATCAGCCTTGGTTGTGTGACTTGAGAGTACGAAGCCCTTATACACCACCACCATCACCACCATATCGCCGTTTGATCCTCTAACCATCTGGCTGCCACACCATAATCTTGACATATCAGTACAGCCATCGTCATTAACAGCTGGAGATTATGAGTGAGCCTACTTGCCCATGACTCAGATTCTCAATGGCTCGTAGGGTGTGTCAAAATGTTCTCTTAAAAATGTTCTCTTAGTCTGGAGATGTTACTAGCACCGAGACTGAACCGTGCCTTCTCTGGTCATCAACTCTTACTAGAGGGATTAACTTATCCTACAAGTCTTTAAGAATCAGGGGACAAGGATAAGAATCGCTTAGCCTGGCAACTCCGGCCAGCACCAGCAGCGCCAACAGGTCATTGAGAACACACAGCTCATCCTTCCTTGTGACACAACCAATGTACTGGAGTGACAAAGTTTATGTGGATGACACCAATTGTTTCATAGATTTAACAAAATCTTATGACTTACAGTAGATCTAACAAGTTACTGCAGTAGAGTAAAACACCAATTATGAGATTAAACATCTATTATTTTCGGTTTCAAAGATTTACCAAATAATAAAGAAGAAAATTAACAATATTAAACTAATATTATGTATACTAATAAGAAATATTCAGATTTGTCAGTGTTGAGAGGAATGAAGACGTACAAACTAAACATTAAGTGCTGATAAAAATAATCTTTCTGAAGAAGGAAAATAAAACAAAAACACTTCTGTACCAGCCACTCTCCCAGTAACAATAGAGCACACTGTGCACGAGTCAGCGAGTGCTGAGGCGATAGGCGACAGTATTAGCCAACACATGATCGAGTTAAGCAGGTGCCGACGACGGTGATAGCCATTCTTAGCTCGGGTGACAACTGGTGTCTAGGCCTGGCTGCTGACCTCCACTCACTCTCCTCCAGTTACAGCATTTTTACCCCCGGGTGGACAGTTTCTCAGTTGTTGGTGACATACTGGGTCCAATAAATGGCAGTTGGTAATCTGAATTGACATTTGTAAAACATGAACTGTCTGTATAGTAACAAATGGTGGAGGCATACAGTAAACTTTGAGTTGGAGCATTCACTGGGACACACACTCAACACAGTGACTGCTCCAACTCAAAGTATGTCTCCTACGTCATTTGTTGCTATATTTGTCAGTTCATGTTTTACAACTGTCAGTAGCATCGGGTCTCTTAAAAATTACTACCGACCAAACAATCTAAAAGAATTGGTTTACTGCACAGTATATGGCTACGACTGCAGGCTCGTATTAAAAGCAATGACCAGCATAAAATCTTCATGATCGGGTCTGTAACATTTCTATACAACATCGCGCTTGTGTTGGGGTCGCGTCTATAGCAACTACTAACAGTAATAATACTTGACCAGTGTTGGGTTACGGTGGGACAGATTCACTTCCAACAACCTCTACAGTACATAACATCCACGAGGCCCAGAACCAGTATGAATGTCTCTCATTTTATATTATTTACTCTGTGTTATTATTGTTGGTATGTTTGTTTCATTTTCTGTTCATTGTGTTATTTCCCGCAGCGACGAGATACAGTTGCGAGACGACTCCAACTTCACAAGGTAAGCAACCGAGAATATGATTGGTCGGCTGCTTTGAAAAATGGCTTCTCATTTGTCGATGCTTTAAATACAATATTTGCTTCCAGTGGTTCAGCCACTGATACAATGCTTTTCATTGGTCGGCTTGCGTACGGAGACACACAGCTTTACCTTTATGACTAGTGTAACGAAACACTGCTGCTTCGCAAACACTGCTTGTGGATAGGCGACGCGCGCAACGAGAGATGCTTTAATCGACTGCCTTCAAATTGCTTACAACTAGCTGAGAAAACGCTTACAACTGGTTTATATTGTTCTTTATGTGTCCTAGGTCGAAAATATTGGAAATTTGCAAACCTTTACATATTCAGAAACTTATGGTAAAGGGAATCAGAAAACCAATGTTTCCCTTCAGTTAATACCTTTGTGGCAGCCATTTTAGTATGGCTTCTATCTACAACACGAGCTTCTGACTCTCAACACCCAGAAACACGATTACAGTAGCTACATCTCCTTAGTGGCAGAGGGAGTTGGATGCTCGTGCTTCCCACACATTTTGTAACGTCAGTCTAGAATTTCAGGATGACCATCATTTATAACTTAATTTTCTAAATATTTCAGCCTTCAGTCCAATTAGGTTCTTGATTTCAGCAAGTTAAGTAAAAATACATAAACATGATATAAATCATTTGTTTTCCAAGTGGTTGCTTGTCTTGTCATCCTGTTGTGCGGTACTGTTCGGGGTTTCATTCAATTTTGTGCTCATAAATCCAATCTGGTGCTTAATGTGCCATTTAAAAAATGGAAACATTGGTATTTTGATTTGGTTCACCTTGCACATTACAGATATGTAAAATTTTACAAATCTCCAAAAATTTTCAACGAACATAAGAGAAGAACACAGGAAGCTGGACACTCGCAGAGAAACGTCCGAAATTTGGCTTTATAAAGTTTGACTCATCAACTAAGCTCCGCCCACATTCAGTGTCTTAAGTAACCTTTAAGATTCGTCTCTTACAAGTTCATTAGTTCCTGGAACTAACTATGTATCATCGCTACAATGAAATTCGCAAAAAAAAAAAATCTTCAAATAGAACAGAAATATGCGTCATATCATTCGTACATAGAACAGAAAAGAAGACTATTTATGACGATGAGATTCAGCCACAGACTACCAACTAACTCATACGGCTGTCACTGGTTACTGAGGATACCAAAAGTAGGTGTAACTTAGTTGGTGGGTCAAGTGAATCGAAAAAAATAAAAAATCTGCTACGCATCGCTTGACAACACTAAGAAACATCTTTTCTTCTCTAATGGTCGTCTGCAATGAAAACTTGGTCCCAGAATCTCAAACATTCCTATGATAAATTGTCCTCCTGACTGGCGACATGAAAGCGCATCTAATTGACTCAGTTTATCTAAATCACAAAAAAATCACCGACCTAGTTCTGAGATCTTACTTTAATTAGTGGCGTCTTTCTTATCACCAGTTAGAAGAAAATTAAAGTACGGATCTTTAAGAATTTGAACCCTGCTATCCAATGGCTGTAATGAACACCAGTCAACTTTATTTTTTGGTTGCTATATTTTTCTTCTCAGCTAATTATGATGCTTTCATAATGAAAGTTTACTCCACTAAAAATACAATCAGCAAATCTCTATCAGAAAAAAGAAACATTAACCCCTGAGTCACAGTCATAGTGTGACACACGCATGCTACATGTAAAACTGGCAATTTTGTTTTGTATGAATACTATATATAGACCTGACCACTACACTACACTATATCACCAGCACTCAGCGTTAAGGGACTCAACTAGTATGTACTGCACCGACAAACTTGTGTATCCATCGTAATAATCTACTCAACATCTAGTGTTGGTGTTTAGAAGACAAATTATTAAAGTTGACCTTAACTCATGGTTCATGAGATACACATTTCCCTGACTTAAGTTCTAACACTTATTTTCACCAACACTGCTCGACTTACGAGGATAAAAACATAAATCTGATGTAAAATAAATGTTTATTAAGTTAACATTCTAATTCTACTTCATACACTTATATTTTCCTTGTCAGCCTTAGGCTACTAGTAGCAATTGCAAACGGCTTTATCCAGTACAGTACAGTACAGTACAGCACAGTACAGTACAGTACAGCACAGCACAGTACAGTACAGCACAGTACAGTACAGTACAGCACAGTACAGTACAGTACAGCACAGTACAGCTCAGTACAGTACAGTACAGCACACAGCACAGCACAGCACAGCACAGCCACTGCACAGCACAGCACACCACAGCACAGCACAGCCATCAGGCACAGCACAGCACAGCACAGCACAGCACAGCACACACAGCACAGCATAGCACAGCACAGCACAGCACAGCACAGCACAGCACAGCACAGCACAGTACAGCACAGCACAGTACAGCACAGCACAGCACAGCACAGCACAGCCACAGCACAGCACACCACACAGCACAGCACACAGCCACAGCACAGCACAGCACAGCACAGCACAGCACAGCACAGCACACAGCTAGGTATAGCATAGTACAGTATAAAGCAGGCATAGTACAGTATTATACAGCACAGTACAGTACAGTACACACAGTGCCAGCACAGCACAGCACAGTACAGTACACTACAGTACAGCACAGTACAGTACAGTACAGCACAGTACAGTACAGTACAGCACAGTACAGCACAGTATAGTACAGTACAGCACAGCACAGTACAGCACAGTACAGCACAGTACAGTACAGCACAGTACAGTACAGTACAGCACAGCACAGCACAGTACAGTACAGTACAGTACAGTACAGTACAGTAATTAGAGGGAAGAGAGATGTGGGTTTGTTTCCCTGAATTCATAAAAGTTGACTCGTGTAACAAACTGACACTTTACTCGGTCTTTAATGACTTTTGCGCCTGAAGCATCAAATTTAGAACCATAACTACATTAATAAGACACATAGATATGTACAGGAAGTAAAATGACGTTGTTTCTCTTTAAACAATGTTGTTCTTATTGCACAAGGGTTACAGTACAGTACAGTACAGTACAGTACAGTACAGTACATTACTCCAAGTAAGTTGTATACCTTTTAAGTACACCCAATTCATAAAAGTTGACTCGTGTAACAAACTGACACTTTACTCGGTCTTTAATGACTTTTGCGCCTGAAGCATCAAATTTAGAACCATAACAACATTAATAAGACACATAGATATGTACAGGAAGTAAAATGACGTTGTTTCTCTGTAAACAATGTTGTTCTTATTGCACAAGGGTTGGCCTTGCTTGCCAAGGACTCCAAGTTTGTATACCTTCTTAAGTAACGCGACAGATCATGTGTGTATGTGTAAAAAAGATAAGGCGCTTTGGGACAAACAAACGGTCAATGGGCGTTAGCCAACAGTCAGATTATCTCAGCCACACTAATTTTAAAGGATAAACTGAACTACTCCTGGTGCATTATCTTATCAAACTATCATAGAAACAAATGGGTTGCGACTAGAGAATGTGACAGTAGATAAATATAGCTCAGTGATCACAATCTTTAAGTACAGTACAGAGGCGATAGCGTGGTGGTGATTAAGGTGAGGGCCCGCCCACCGAGGCTCTCAGCCTCACCTCCCCGATAAGATTACACCATAATTTTGTTGTGAATAACATGATCAAGTTCCTGTTGAGTCTCAATGTGACTGTCAATTTAAACGTTATTGCTGTGCCTTAAAGGCCATCCAGATATATTATGCGTTCATTACACCATAATTTTGTTGTGAATAACATGATCAAGTTCCTGTTGAGTCTCAATGTGACTGTCAATTTAAACGTTATTGCTGTGCCTTAAAGGCCATCCAGATATATTATGCGTTCACACGAGGGAAAATGATGGTACTAATGTTGAAGTATTCAAGGCACGGTTTACACGACCCGAGACCCTCAATACCCACACGGTGGACGCCGGCACGAACACCGCCCATAAATTATACAAATGATTTAAGAGGTAAAAAAGTTGACTGGTCATAACTGTAATAATAAGTGTTTCAATTCTCTTCACGTTTGTTGACTGTACCTCCCTCCGTGTACACGTTCAGACACCATTAGTGTGTGTTGTACAGACACTTATTCAGACATCCTGAGCGTGAGTTGCTTTACAAACACTCGTTCACAGATACCTTTGTAGATGCGAAACACATATGTATCCATTTCTGCAGTCAGCAAAATAACGAGGTGACCGACATAAACTGACACACAAGATACATGAATAGAGTTGATCCTGTATGAAAACGTTATTGGAATATATTGCCTCAACACTCTCCTCCCACGCAGGGTAGTCGGGTTCAACCCCAGATATATATATATATATATATATATATATATATATATATATATATATATATATATATATATATATATATATATATATATATATATATATATATATATATATATATATATATATATATATATATATATATATATATATATATATATATATATATATGCGTGTTTGTGTGTGTATGTGGTCAATAGGGGTCACCACAGGTCCCTGACGACCAGTGACACATCCAACACTCACTGAGTAAAATATATATAGTTACTGTGTGAGCGTGTGTTGTGTCACACATTAACTTTGTACTTATATACATTATGCTTATAATCTACGTATGATTATGAACATTTGCGTGTGTTGTAGGATCGCGTGTATGTGTGAATCTAAGAGCAGTGTGTGTGCACTCAGCAGGGTAGTTGTGCACGGGCTGATGGTGTTAGCCTGGTATGTGGGTCGTGGTGGTAGTGAAGCTGGAGCTTATCAACACCACACGGAGAGTATCACAGCAATGGGAAGGGGTTCTCCTGACACCACTTATCCTACCATACCACCAGTAGCTAGAGGTGATAACGGCGGTAGTATAATGAACCTTGGGGGGGGGAGCTGTTAATCCCATTTACACCATTACCAACACTGGCTAGTGGTGAACCTCGAACTGGGGAGATAGGCGTTAGCATTACACACACACACACACACCAATGGCGCTCCTTACACTCCGTCTTTACCTCCTCCACACCACTACTCCCCACTCCCTTTCACTCCTCACCCTTTCCCCCCACATCCTCTTACTCCCCATACTCTCGCCCACTCGTCACTCTCTCCCTTCTCACCCCCCCTTTCCAGACTCCCTCTTACTCGTCACCTTCTCTCCCACTCCCTACTACTCCTCACCCTCTCACACCTCTCACTGCTCATCCCCTCGGTCGTCTCTCACTCACTCAGACTTTCTTCTCTCGTATTCAATAATCCAAGCTTAACACTTAGATGCCTCGACTCTTCCCTTACTTTATCTTCTCTTCCCTTACTTTATCTTCTCTTCCCTTACTTTATCTACTCTTCCCTTACTTTATCTACTCTTCCCTTACTTTATCTTCTCTTCCCTTACTTTATCTACTCTTCCCTTACTTTATCTTTCTATCTTCTCTTCCTTTTACTTTGTCTTCTCTTCCCTTACTTTATCTTCTCTTCCCTTACTTTATCTTCTCTTCCCTTACTTTATCTTCTCTTCCCTTACTTTATCTTCTCTTCCTTCTCTTCCCTTACTTTATCTTCTCTTCCCTTACTTTATCTACTCTTCCCTTACTTTATCTTCTCTTACTTTATCTTCTCTTCCTCTTCCCTTACTTTATCTTCTCTTCCCTTACTTTATCTTCTCTTCCCCTTACTTTATCTTCTCTTCCCTTACTTTATCTACTCTTCCCTTACTCTTCTCTTCCCTTACTTTATCTTCTCTTCCCTTCTTCTTCTTCATCTATCTTCTTCTTCTTACTTACTTTATCTTCTCTTCCCTTACTTTATCTTCTCTTCCCTTACTTTATCTTCTCTTCCCTTACTTTATCTTCTCTTCCCTTACTTTATCTTCTCTTCCCTTACTTTATCTTCTCTTCCCTTACTTTATCTTCTCTTCCCTTACTTTATCTTCTCTTCCCTTACTTTATCTTCTCTTCCCTTACTTTATCTTCTCTTCCCTTACTTTATCTTCTCTTCCCTTACTTTATCTTCTCTTCCCTTACTTTATCTTCTCTTCCCTTACTTTATCTTCTCTTCCCTTACTTTATCTACTCTTCCCTTACTTTATCTTCTCTTCCCTTACTTTATCTTCTCTTCCCTTACTTTATCTTCTCTTCCCTTACTTTATCTTCTCTTCCCTTTATCTTCTCTTCCCTTACTTTATCTTCTCTTCCCTTACTTTATCTTCTCTTCCCTTACTTTATCTTCTCTTCCCTTACTTTATCTTCTCTTCCCTTACTTACTTCTATCTACTCTTCCCTTACTTTATCTACTCTTCCCTTACTTTATCTTCTCTCCCCTTACTTTATCTACTCTTCCCTTACTTTATCTACTCTTCCCTTACTTTATCTTCTCTTCCCTTACTTTATCTACTCTTCCCTTACTTTATCTGCTCTCGTCTATTCTCTTTAATTCCCGCTCACTTCTCACTCATTCTCCAGCACTGTCGTCTTTTCCTCCTTCTCACTCCCACGCTGACTTGAGCCCCGTAGCCACAAGAAGACCCCACAGTGTGGCCCCTCAGAACTAAAGTGGCCTTGTAGCGTGGCCACTTTAGTCCAAAGATGACCCTGTAGCCCCGTGAAAGCCCCACAGTATGACCCCTTTGCCCCGCGGGTGGTTGGGGCCTCTGAATGACGCTGAACATGTGACACACACTCTTGAAGGACTCTTTTGTACCCGGCCTGAGACGCCGGGGTCGAGGGCTACTGCACAAGCAAACCCAGGAAGACCCAACTGCAGGGGGAGTCAAGGGGAAGGGGGGGAGGAGGAGGAGGAGGCGAGGTGCTAAAGTAGGAAGTGAAGAACCAGTGTCATGGATTGACATTTGTTGCAGAGGGACTATTATTTATAACAAGTGCTAATTCGGCTTTCAGTTGTTTTGGCAAGGACCTCAGAGTACATTGTGTGTGTGTGTGTGTGTGTGTGTGTGTGTGTGTGTGTGTGTGCGTGTGTGCGTGTGTGTGTGTGTGTGTGTGTGTGTGTAAAAGAGAGAAAGACCTTTTTTACTAGCTCCAGTTTATTGGTTGTACTATATTGTACTACTTTCCCCAACAAGAGTAAGTTACAGTTCTTGGGGAAAAAAAAGTATACCTGAAAGCCGTGTTGGAGAAGCCCTTCGCTCGTGCTGGCGATGTTAACACAATCAAAGACGGAAAGACGGACGCAGAGTGTGAGTGAACTTGACCATCGTAGCCACAGTCTGGGCACACGAGTAAACCTGACAAACACAGTTGGTCCCGGCACGTGTAAACATAGTAATGGTCTTAACAGATCTAACCAATAATGCAGATCGCGATAGTTCCCTTACTGAGTGTAACCATATCACCTGCCCATCGTAAACATAACCATTATAACCCCTCCAACTATAGAACCTGGTCACCATGCCTAGTCCAAGTTTCTAACCATCCCCGTCTCTTCTCCACGTACAGCGCTCGGGAGATGGCCAGACTGAACATCATGGACCGTATCTTGATCGCCCTGGGCCCACCCTTCGGGGAAAAGTTGCCCAAGGCGCCAACCAACGACACCCTGGCCACCGTGTCCACACCCATCAATATCACCGCCGAACCATGCCCATACAAATACAAGGTGAGTAACTTCTTGAAACTGAGGAAAATTGTACTATTCAATAAGGAATATTTGTATTTAGTTTCTGTGCATTGTTTAATGATATTAGAGAAGAGAAACACAGAAACAACATGGACACCTTCATCTAACTTTCACATCAACACCACAAACAGGACCGACACCTTTATATAACACAACAACAGTACGGTCTCGCCCATCTAACTTATCTTAACCTTCTTATAACACAAGAAATAAACAGTACAGTCCCAATAAACAGTACGGTCACCATCTACTGTAAACCTTCACGCTAACGATCATGTTTGTCTCGTCAACAGAGGTGCTCATCGCAGACGTTCTTCCCCTCGTGCAACATTCCCCGTAATACTGACCCGGAGGTGTGGCCTCAGCGCTTCAATCTCTACTTCAACCTTTCCGCCAATTTCGACAGCAGACTTGATGTGATTAATGCTACCCTTAGGCTCTTCAAGAACAGTTCCCTCCCTCTCCAGCACCCAAAAACCCTGCTCATCAAGGCTTACGTCTACACTAAGAGCCTTACCAAGAGACGAGGTGGGTGCCCAACTCCCAGAGGCTTCTTTTGTAGCTACAGACTCGGGTCCGGCTTTCAATACACTTTTGTTATAGAGCAGTGTCTACCAGGCCATCTCAGTTTATTACATATAAGCAGCGAGTTGCAACAAGCGACGCAGAATACTGTACAACCCAAACCTAAGATCTTCTGGTCAGGTTAGGCCAAGTTGGGTCTGACTGTTTCGTGTATCCTATCATAACTAGAGCATTTTATGCCAAGGATATATTGTAGAGTATATACACAGCTTTATAGCATAAGTAATCGAAGAGCTGGTCCAGGTATACAGTAACAGCCTTTTTATTAGTCACCTGTTGAAAGAAATTCCCTGTGTGTCTTTAGTAATCTTTTGTTTACCATGGATTTGTTTCTCATAACTAAAAGAAATGGAGATTTTACTTAAAGTCTGATGAACAAACAAGGCTACTGCTAATCATTGGTTGGTACGGTACTTTATGTTTTCAAATTATCACAAACCCTTTTAACACAAGTTCTACCCCCCTCCCCCTCCTACAGCCAAGACAACTTTGGTGGCCGACGCTCAGGTGACTAGTGACTACCTGGGGTGGGTGTCCCTGCCTGTGGAAAAGATGGTGAGACGCTGGAAGAGACAGAGGAGCAACCACGGCCTCCTGGTTACCGTCAACGACATCGACCTCACCCCCTGGGACGCCCCACGTCTCTTCGTTATCATGGACTGCGCCTCCGGTAATAACAGTGCGTACCGCCGCCCACGCTTGTGCTGTTACGCACATCACCTTAACTCTACAGCGGATCTTACCATAGACACGATATCTCAACCACTTTATCTCTAAACCGGCCAAGACATCAATATCTTTTGTAGAAATATATATACAGTATCACTGAATTGTGCTCAAAATATACGACCCAATTTATTTCTAAATCTGCTAAGAAAACAACTAGCCCAGTCATAATAATTCTTGTATAACTCAGTAAACTATGAAGTACGATCCGCTGTCGGGTATAATCTGACCACCATTAAATATAACCCTTGCTCCCAGCTTGGCAACCGCTTTTTCCTACTTACAGTATACTGTATATGTCAAGCAGTACCACTGTGTGTGTGTGTGTGTGTAACCTAACACTAATAATCACAACGTCTCTATGGAAGACGACACCCCGGACAGGTTTGTATCACCTACAGTGTAACTAATAAATGTTAACAACAGTCCACACACACCAACACAACCCCTTCACCCCACCAAATAATCTCCAGTATGCAACCAACTTCCGATGAACCTGCTACATATTTTCCATCATGCAACCAAATTCCCAAGACACTACACTACCGTATTATACAGTACACAACAAAAGCCTTTGAAATTACAGCGTAATCTTCACTATACGTAAGATTTGTATGTACAAATGTGTTCCGCGTGAAGAACTGTCCTCCCTGTGCATGCCCAGTTGCACCTCACAGTCCCTATACTCTTGGTATATACTGTACTGACAGATGAATCATGTCAGGTCACCTGTGTCTTGAGAAGTGCATGTAAGAATATATCATAATTATTTTAAGATATATTGTTTCCCTCCATGTATTATGTACTGGTGTTTGCAACTCTGTGAAATATTCAACTTGGAAAATACTTATATACACCCATATGCTATTGGGGTGTAGCTACTATAGTTTGTCTACTGAAGGTTAACTCCTGCTTTTCCCAGTTCAGTTAAACTTAGATGACACACTGTACAGTAGACAGGTTTTATTATTTGTGACACACCTCCAATGTTTACCAGTCTGTGACCCAGACAAGATGAACGTACAGTAATATTAGTTAGTGTCTGAATACTGTTATCATTAACGAGTGTAGTACCGTTATTCCGGCCCCGATGCAGCAACTAATGTATTTAACTTTACAACAGCAACAACAATTATTGTTCTTGTTCGTGCTTCGTCATTGTCTGGTGTAAATTCATATTCTAGTTGTATTTTTTTTTCTTATTTAGATCACTTAAAATTTAAAAGTTAGAGAATTGTATATAAAAAAATGTATTCCTCCAAAAACAATTCACTACTTATTCATACGCAAATATTTATCATGGTGTTATCCTCAATAGTTAAGCCTTACTCTGATAAACCCTAAGTCAACTCTAAAGAGGCCGTTATCATATATATCCGGTGCTGCAGCCACACAAATGCAATAACTTTAACAGTCCATTTGACAGAGATTTAAAATGCTTCAAGTTACAAAATTCGCCTAGGCCTATAATGACAGACGCTATTGAATATTAACTTCATATCATCTTATCTTTCTGCACACGTTATCTACGTTCGTTGTTGTTTACTGGGCGCTATCGTATGTCTTATTACAGTACTGATTTATAGTATGTCTTATTACAGTACTGATTTATAGTATGTCTTATAACAGTACTGAATTCGACGTTGTAGATGAGGGTACTTACAGTATTATATTATTGTATTCTGTTTATCCCCAAGTGACTAATCGTGTGGGTGTCTTTATTGCAGGTCTTGTACCCTTGCCATTCGAGGTTCAGACAGACGAAGAAGGCCAGCGGTACCCGGCCCTCAACGTGTTCCTGGGCAGCCCCGACGATGAGAGGGAAGTGAACGAGCCAGATCCGTCGCCTAGTCCAGTACCCGCCATGCTGCCAGAAAGTGTCACGGTGGATATACAGTCCGACGACCCCGCCGTCTACGACTACGACGAGAATGGCGCCCCCATCCCCCACCGCCACCCTGCCATGCCCAGCCACACAGCGTCTCTCGTTCGTAACAGCCACGCCCATACTAACACCTTCCCTCATGGAGTGGAACACTCTTTCGGGACTGGCCGCGGACACGTGCACGGCAATAACCAGCCCCTTGGCCATAACCATCAGCTGACCAATAACAACCAGCCGAGCAATAATCACCAACTGGGCAATAATAATCACCTCAGGATGAACCAACCTCCCACTACTAGTCAAACCATCATCAACCACCAAGCCCATCACGGCCTCGCTAACAACTATCCTTCTGAAAGCAACAACCCCATCGACCTTCAAGCCGAGATGGAAGCCGAGGTAAACCCAAGATTCCCCAGCACACAGGCGACACTCACTAGTAACAGCCGTGGTATTAACTTGGGGGAGCGAGGGTCGCCGTCAGAGCGGGGATCGTCGGGAGAACGAGGGTCTTGGAGCCAGCCCACGCCCGCCACAGACGAGGGCCGCAGCCAGCGCCAACGAAGCCTCGCCAAGGAGAGGCGACACCGCAAGAAGCATCGTCAGCACCACCGCCGTGGCTAGGAGGCGCGGTCCAGCACCATCTGTGTGAGGCGCCCCGGCCCGTCTCCACACCCTCAGGAAGCCTGGACCAGGCAGCCTCCACGCCGCCTGGGCCAACACTACGTCCTACCTGAGTCCCGCCCCTGTACATAGCATTGCTGATGCTCCAGTTCCTTGTCTCGCTTTATTTATGAGAGTGAGTGAGTCTTTTTCCTGAGTTAAGAGAGCCAGCGTGCGTGAGCCCAGAGTGTGTTCACGCTGAGCCCTCTGAACTCTCTGTTCATATTTGTACCAGGTATGTATGTACTGTATATGTTTCCGTGAATCTTGAGGCAGCGTTTGAGGACGTGCCACAGTGCCAAGCAGAGGCCCGCACCTTCGGGTATCGTGTGAGTGAGATAGGCTCCCCCGAGGCCTAGCGTGTATGTGTGGTCAGTGTCGCACAGGAGTCACTTCCCTGCGACACTGCATGAGTGTGGCCGCACCCGGCTCGCCGGAGTCTTGTGGCAGAATCGCATTCCAAGTCAGTTTGTTCAAGTCAATTCGTGTACCTTGACTAACATGTGCCATACGCCAAGTCATATAATAGTAAGTTTGTTTATACGGGCGAGTGTGGTAGTGGTAGACGGTCAGTGTTGCTACTACCGTGTTGAGCGTTTGTGTTGGTAGCAAGCACAACACCCTACCCTGCCACCCTCACCGTGGCCCCGGCACACCTACCATCCGCAACCCACCAACCTCACCGAGAGATTTATTCCCCCGGGTGTTGCAACAACCCACCACGCTACCTGTAAGTTTATTATTACCTGGGAGGGTGAGTGTACCGGGGCAGCGGTGAGTGTGCCCACCCTCACCGCCATGTCCACATCCCACCCCCTGAGGCTCCAGTGTACCTAGCCTTGCCGAACCACCCTGTTCCCTGTCCTCAAGGCTTAAGATTGTCACGAGCCTCACCATGTGGTTCAACTTCCCAGGGCTCGACAATGGTCCAGCCCCCAGCCTCACTGTTCCACATTTGTCTTACATTTAAGTTGTTAATTAAGAGATCATTTACAAGGTGTCCTGGCGCAACTTAGGCTCAGTTATGAAAATTTGGATCATATCAAATATTACTGAGCCTTTTTTACACAATAGTTAGTTTAATAAGTTTAAACGGGTATTACAGTCGGTCACATGTGAATACAAAAAGTACCTGCTATCTGTTTGAGGTTGTTGAGCTGGTCACCTGGAAGGCTGGCAGCTCGGGGTAGAGGGAGTAGAGGAACCAGGTATCGCCTTCACCGTCAGATATACTGAGACATCCATTTAGAAATCTCTTTTATAAAACTTCAGTCAGACTGATTTTTACCTGTCCTGTATCTGTTAAGTATTGCTTTATAGATGCGATATATCGGGGTTACCGTTACTTAGGTTGGTCACTGTTCACGATGTACATGTGCTGCCAGTTTATATGTGAAACGCTTAACGAAGTTACTTAGTTTTTTCCTTCACTGTACAATCGGTATATGATGGGTATATAGTGTTTCTCAAGAGCAGTGTAATATTAACTGACAAATATGGCGTTGTACTTCTAATGGTGCTTAAGTAGAAACTTTAATAGCTTATTGTATGGTGTGCCACTAGCACTAAGGGCCGGAATTAAACATATAATTTACGCTAAGTCAGTACTTCAGTGGTCTGCTTCCACCTGAATATTGTTCGTCCATTACTACAATTATCCAGGTGATAATTGGGATTAATTAGAAGATAAGTAATGTACAGTAATATTATTTGGCAATTGACAGCAACGCAAGTCTGAGTTTTCCTACAAGTGAGGGTATTTACGGTCTAAAATACCTCCAAACAGTCAAATTTACCTCCCAACACAAACTAAAATACCTCCCAACGGTCAATATTACCTCCAGTCAAATATACCTCCAAAAACAGTCACAAATACTTCCAAAACAATCAAAAATATCTCCCAGTCCAAAACACCTCCCAACAGCCAGAATGCCTCCCAGACATTCAAAAATGCCTTCCAAACATTCAAAAATGCCCCCCAAATACTAAAAAATGCCTCACAACCACTCAAAAATATCTCCCAAATCTCAAAAATGCCTCCCAACACAGTAAAAAATACAACCCAGTCAAATATACCTCCCAACCAGTCAAAAATACCTCCCAGCACAGTCCAAAATACCTCCCAACCAGTCAAAAATACCTCCCAACACAGTCCAAAATACCTTCCCACCGTAAACCAACAATATCAAACTTTCTTGGACCTTCAAATACAAGAATCAGCTTAAAACAACGACGACATAACATAATAGTTTGATGTGTTTGTTTTAAAACTGAACTTTATCCATTTGAATTTAATTTCCACATCTCAATATTATTTTTATTATTATTTGTGTTTTTGTTTTAAGAACGTAATTGCATCCTTAAGTATTTGACACGAGTGCTCAAAACCTTTCTTTCATGATTCATCGAGATACACGGCACTCAACAACTTGTATTGGGTCATTAAAGATACGAGTGCTTAAAAGCCTTTATTGAGCCATTAAGACCATCGTAGCAGGAAGCAATGGTCGGGTGCGTCCATCATCCCAAGGTCTCATGTATCTTGGGCACGCAATTAAACCCTTATGCCTTTAGGATAATTTTTTACATCAAGATCTAGCTCATCAGTGTCTAGGTATATATAGGACTAGTGAATTTGTAAAGGCATTCGAGTCATAGATGGATGGAAGTATGTTACAAATGGTTATTAAAAAAATTAAGCAATAGGTTATGTTTTTTATACATTTCCAGTCTAGTAAGTTTGTTAAAGCCGTAACTGTGTTCTTCGAGGCGTTTAAATGGACCTCCCTAGCTGTCAAAACTAGGCTAACTCTGCCAAACTAGTGTTATTATGTGTAATGTAAAACTGTGTAAATAGTAATTTTATCCTGACTGTACATATAGATTTATTTTATTTCAGTAAATAATTTTCTAGCTATCTAAGCCTGTCTTTTATTCACCATCCTCTTGACGATTTTTATGTGTGTGTGTGTGTGTGTGTCAGAATTTTTGATATGTACATGTAATAATAAAATAAAAATAATAACAATAATAAATGTCCAAAACTATGATTGAATATTTGTACAGGTTACCCATACTATGATCACTGGTGGCACCATCACTAAAAAGCGAAGGAAACAAAACTATCAAAACTTCAATCAGAAGTCAAAAGCAGCCTAAAGAAAAGCAGTGACCCTCATGAACCTACAGCATATATATTCCAAATTTAAAGTCAAAATTATTCAAGTATTGTGGAGATATTGTCCAGAAACAAAGATCCAACTTAAACCAGAAAAAATGCATATAAAATATTTTACCACAGACAACACCTCAGAGTAATCCTGTTGGCTTACATATGATTCCAAAATGTGGAATATATGAGCTTGGTATTGTTGGGATACATTTAAGATTCAACAATTAGTTCTCAAAGGTGTCACGAAGGAGCCTCATCGTCCCCACATAATGGAGGTCACCGCGTGATCTTACAACAAACGTGTTTGATATTTGAAGCGAATAAGTTGAGGTGTTAAGATTTCACCCAGAAAACATAATTGGTTCCAACACTGTAAAGGGAAAAAAACATTAAATATTGTCGAAAAGTTCTGCCTGATCAAAAACTATTTATATAACAGATCTAAACAGGAAATTACTTAAGGTACTGTTAGAGATAATTTGCGGAAACAAAGGCGGTTAACGTGCCAAATACCACTGTATATATCAACACAACTAAAGACGCTATTCATTACATCACAAACCACAAGAATAAGTAACTCCACCAAATCTGATATAAACCGGTTGAAGTGTGGTTGAGATATCGCCCGGAAACGATGCCCCCCCCCACCCCCCTCGTAAATAAGGTAGGATATCCGTCGACCTATTAGGCTGCCTTCAAGAGCCACTGATGTGGAAAATAACTTTACCGGGTAACACTAAGAAATTTCATGTTCAATGATTATGACATTTTCGCGCTAGAAATAACCGGGAAACACACTACCAATTTCCAGTACAGTATTTCACGAACATTGTGAGCTGGCGGAAAACCAGTCACCATTTTTCCAACAATGGTGACGCCACTTTGAGGGAGAAAGAGGAATAATTACAGTACCGATATACAGTAGAGTATATTGTTAAGGGTAATATATGGAAGTCTCCTGAGCTTTCATAACACAATCACAGGTGTCACGAGCTTTAGTTCCTGAGCTAGACACCTTACTAGGACCCGGGCGGTAACAGACCACACAGACTAAAACGGGTTCACTTAAATTCATGATCATGTTTAGCATATTGCTCCTTAAATATTCAGCATTACTCAGGTATCATCTAATATACTATAGGACTAGCCGTGTGTCTGTCTGTTCTGGCCAGCCGAAACGGCACAATCGTTTTTCATCAAACTTGGTGGAAAAATCGCAAAAAATTCGTAGAGTGGAACAAACCTGGTCCCATGTCGATGGTTTCTTTAGGAACGCATTAATTAACGATTTTATTTACGCTGGCAACAGATGTCGCTGTACGCTGTCAGCCGGCCGGACGATTGCAGTTATTGTACGTCTCCCTCCTCCTCCCCCCACTTTTTCTCTTAGCCTACTTTTTTTTAATGTTGTTTGGATTAGTAAAGGAAGGAAGATGAGTAAATAGAAAAAAGAAGGGGAAACAGACAATAGTTAGAGATAACAGGTGAGGGGAGCTGAGTTTCATCATGCGTCTGGATGCGCAGTTTCAACTTTACCAGAGCATTTTCGGACCTTAGGAGGCTACAGTGTGTACTTATTCCTCTCCTTATGGCGAATATTTCTTTAACTAATTATTCTAACCTTTATTCTATTCCTTCCTATAGTATATTAGATACTGTAAGTATCATGACCACGACCATGATTATAACAACCACGACCATGATTATAACCACGACTATGATTATAACAAACACGACCATGATTATAACAACCACGACCATGATTATAACAACCACGACCATGATTATAACAACCACGACTATGATTATAACAAATACGACCATGATTATAACAACCACGACTGATGACCATGATTATAACAACCACGACTATGATTATAACAACCACGACTATGATTATAACAACCACGACCATGATTATAACAGCCACGACCATGATTATAACAACGACGACCATGATTATAACAACCACGACTATGATTATAACACGACCATTATGATTATAACAACCACGACCATGATTATAACACCAACGACCATATAACAACCACGACTATGATTATAATAACCACGACCATGATGATGACTATGATTATAATAACCACGACCATGATTATAACAACCACGACCATGATTATAACAACCACGCCATGATTATAACAACCACGACCATGATTATAACAATGACATGATTATAACAACCACGACTATGATTATAACAACCACGACTATGATTATAACAACCACGACAACCACGACCATGATTATAACAACCACGACCATATGATTATAACAACCACGACGACTATGATTATAACAACCACGACTAACGACTATGATTATAACAACCACGACCATGATTATAACAACCACGACCATGATTATAATAACCACGACCATGATTATAACAACCACGCCCATGATTAAATACAGGCACAAGCGCACTTCTCCAAATATTCCCTCCATTACTGTTTTGTCGAACCATACAGCGAACCGGGCACGAAGGGTCCACGATCACTTGTATATAACTATAGGAAAGGAGATGTTGGAATGTACAGTACAATATGACAAGAAACACCATCAATCAACAATAATCGAACATTAACAATCGCCACACTTATACAACATACAGTTACATAAATATCCAACGATACACTAACAATCACCACAATCCTACCACATCCAAAGGTATATAAATATTACAAACTTACATTACATTCTAAGCCAGAGTAACACAATTTGCTATTAACCACAACCGCCTCCGCCGACCACCGACCAGCGCCCACACCCTCGTCCGTCCAGGAATGCTCTGCCCTCCTCCCTCATGTACTGCTTCATTACACCCCCGCTTGTGATCCGAACAGCATAGATACGAAGCTCAGGAATACCTAACCATAAGCCCAAGCTATGGACCAATGTATTGGACCATCCCATAAATCCACGATCCATGACTCAAAAAGTCCGGAATATCGAGTCGGGAGATCGAGTAGCGGGGTAGAGCAGTGGTCAGACAGCAACCAAACACTGTTGGGTTTTCAAGCTTGTTCTGCTATATCCAGCTTCATAATACAGTAATCCTGATAATGACCTCAGATTCCACCGACAATTGTCTGTTTACTGAACCTGGCCCAGTGGTCATTCTCTTTTGGTTGGGCTGGCATGACAAGGAGAATAATTGTTGAGGAAACTACTGTACCGTACACCCATATTACCAATTAGTGAAGAAAGAATAAAAATGTCCTGCACTCTGGTCATGGGAAGCCGCGAAATGAACCGATTCACGAAACTAAAACTCATAGTTGCTAATTTAAACTAATACACAACATTTTTCAAAGACATCTACAAATGACCACCTCTGGCTGGCGCCCGCGGCCCAGACGGTAGTGTCTGTAGTGTACAAGTCAAGTGGCTCGGGGGTTGGGTTATTATGGAGTTGCTTTCTTCTCTCTACTGCTGAACTTTTCAACAACTCTTTTAATCTCCCCCGGTCTGCTCCTCCTTAAAGAGTAAGTCTTACACCATCTAAAATTCCTAGAACATCCCATATTTTCCCGACAAGTCCTCTATTAGAACATGTGACACAATCTGGAGCCTTATCGATAGAAAAATAATCACTATAGCCCACTCCACTAGCCTTGATGTAATGTTCGACTTTCGTAGGAAAGTTAGGTTTAGGAAACGTATGAAAATCTAAGGAAAATACACGTCATATTTCACTTGGTGACCTGAAAATTAATTCTTTGGAGTAGTTCCACCACAGTATGCCTTCCTTTTAAAACAATGGTTTTCAGGAGGCGTGGAATTATGGACACTGAAACTAAATACAATGTATTAACAAATGATGCAGTGGGTGTATATTTTAAAACTAATCCAGTTTGGTTAGTGAAATAAGTTCTTTCTCTCTGTGCTAACATATTCAGCTAGGAGCGATGTAGGAATTTTCCAAGTGGGATCGAATAACAAATGACTAGCATCGTTAAAATTCACGGTAAAGTAGCCGACTGCACTTCTTGTATAATTTTCACTCCCATGCCTAAAATGGGAACAAAAAGACGGAAATATAAATAAGGGATCCCAGTGCTGTAATTACAAAGTCATGTAACTACTTATCATCTTCATAACTGCGCTCATTTTCCCCTCAATGTACTCAAGTCCGTACTCACTTCTTCCCTACGTGAAATCTAAAAACGCCCTTAAAGACCTACAGTACAGTAGATACGACCGAAGGCTGCTGTAATGGGAACGCTGTGGGGTAAAAGCATCTTATGTATTAATTCTTAATTATTTAGTGAAACCTATACTGTACCCTAATGGACCACTTCCGTACTGTTTCGTTAATGGTGTAATCTTACATCATTCTGTTGGATTCAATATTAATATATATTTTCTCCATAAGAGGACCAATAAACATATCTAGTAAAGAAAAGAAGAGTAGATATACAAAATGAAACTAAGTCACCTAAAACCAAGCCTGTAGGCCTGAAAATAATCTTGGCCAGAGAACCAACTACACTTCATCCTAGTAGACCTATCAACTGACATTAAAGCTTGTATATCTACCAAATGAAAATATTCAAGAAAGGTTCGGATTTTTTAAGTTCACTATACTGTCAATTAATATAACTTGCTGTTTGTTTCCGAAAATACATAATCTAAAAAGTTCGTGTTATCACTACATCGGTATGTTCATCGTCAGATGTGAGGCAACTCGTCAATGATCAACAAACTGATGGAAGGATCTGGTAGGCTT